GCGAAAAAAATCCACGCTATAAAGTGCTGCGGAAAATCAATCGCGAAAAAGCGGGAGAATATTTTGGTCCTTTTCCCAAAAATTAATCAGTTTAGTTTTCAAAAAAATCAGATTTAAAAAATCCGTAAAATAATTTATATGATATGTTTTATATATATTTTTCTTTTTGCTGTGTGTTTTTTTTCTTTTTTATATAAGTTTATAAGGTTGATAAAGAATAGTCAAGAAAAGAAAAAGAAGGATTTTAATTTATGCCAAAAGGAAAAATAAAACCACTGATTTTCAACTGTTTTCGTTGCCAAGAATGATTTTTAGTTAAATACGTCCCTTGAAAAAAAAGATTTAGTTTAAAAAACGACTGAGATTACTGAACGGATACTAAGAAAGAAGATACTAAAAAAATTTGTGATGATTGTTTAAAGGATTTATATTTCAACCACAAAAAAGAATACCGAAAAAATATTCCTAATGAAACTCGGCGAGTAGTTTTAAGAAATTATCTTGCCCGCCAAACTCACTAAATAATATCATACAAAAAAATAATAAAATATAGTATATGAATAACATTAAAATAAACAAAACATATCATAATAAAAATGAAAAAATAACTGAAAAAGCCATTTTTGGTGAGTTATACCAAGTTCGTAAGATTAATAATTTAGTTCATAAGTTAACCTTCACTATTCAAAAAAATAAGGAATTGGTGATTGATAATTATCCCCATCTAGAATGAGAGTTAAGTTATTTAAAAAAGCAATTAGAAACAATAAAAACTGAAAATAGGGGGTAAATAAAAGAACTAAAAGTCGAGGGGGAAACTGAAAGCAAGAAGCCTTTTACCGAGGTCTATTCTGAATTTCAATAGAATTGTTAGTGATGCTTCGAATAGTGAGCGGGAGTTAAAAAAATAATTAATATGAAAAAGAAAAAAAAGATTATTTTAGGAGAAATCGACATCGAGCCATTATTATCGGCTCGGGATTTTTTAGCGGAAGTTTTGCAAGTGGCCGAAAACAAGTTTGAAATAGCCGGAGCCATCCAAGCCTTTGAAGTTTGCTACGAATTAACTTGAAAAACTTGTAAAAAATCCTCTCTGTTTACGGTATTGAAGTCCTAAATCCTCGTGATACCTTTCGTTTAGTTGCTCAACATGGACTAATTACCAACCTAAAAACTTGATTTGATTATATTAAAAAACGAAATATTACTACCCATGAATATTATGACGAAATAATGGATAAAGTTTATCCGGTTTTACCTAATTTTTTAAAAGACCTTAATTCTTTAATCAAAAAGTTAGAAAAAATTAATTAATAATTATGCTCGCTCTCCAAATAAATAAGACTGATTATCTTATTCTTCAATCAATACTAACTAAATACCCTTGCCATTTTTATGCTTATGGTTCCCGAGTAAAAGGAACCGCCCGGAAATTTTCTGATTTAGATCTTTGCTTTAAAGAAAACATTCCCAGTTATAAGTTAGTGGAATTGGAAGAAAAATCGGGAAACAGTGATTTGCCTTTTATGGTCGAATTAGTAAACTGAGAAAATATATCGGCAGTTCGGCAAAAGAACATTCGAAAAGACTTAACTTTGATTGCTTGCCCGAATAAACTCGCCGAAAGAAAAGAACCAACCAAAAATTTTTGCCACGAAACATGCCCAAGAAAATATCGTAATTGAAAAACTTTATAGTAAGTCAATGGAAAATTTTTATTAATCATCCTTGCCTTTGCCTTGTATGAGAAAAATAAATTAAAATGATTAAAAGTTTCGGAGATAAGCACACAAAAATATTGTGAGTTAAAAAGACTGTCCTAAAATGAAAGAACATTCAGACTGTCGCTTTACGAAAATTAGACCAACTAGACCAAACAAAAAATCTACTAGAATTAACTTTTCCTCCTAATAATCATTTAGAAGCCTTGCGAGGAAAATGAAAAGGATATTACAGCATTCGGATTAATAAGCAATATCGCATAGTTTTTATTTGAGAAAAAGGAAATGCTTATGAAGTAGAAATTACCGATTATCATTAAAACTAAATATTATGACTAAAAAGCCAACTATTTACCATCCCGGAAAAATATTGAAAGAAGAGTTTTTAATTCCCGCTCACATTAGTTTAGCCCAATTAACCCGTGATATTAATGTTTCTTCCAAATTAATTAAGGAAATAATTGCCGAAGAAAGAGACCTTGATAAAGATATTGCTACTCGTTTATCGCTTTATTTCAGCACCGCTCCTACTTTCTGAATAAACTTACAAAGTAATTACGATGAAGAACAAGTAGAAAAAATATTACATAAAAGTTTAAAAAAAGAAATCCAACCCTTATTGCATTATCCCAACTAATTTCTTTGCCCTTGTATGAGAAAGATTACTTTTTACTAATAATATTTTCCCTAATCTATCATTAGAATACCTTATTTTTTTTCTACTTTCTGCGTTTTCTCCTTTCGGGTTAAGAGACTAGGGATGGTAAAAATTATTATACTTTCATGCCAAAACTTAAACCTAGTGAAAATGGCTTCCCGAAACCAAAAAAAGCCAAGTGCTTTCAGTGTCAGAAAGAATTCTATATCAAATTTGTCCTACCTCAGCAAGGATATAGCCGAAAAATTAATATATAATAGTAAAACTAAATAAAATTGACTAAGATTCACGAACTAAACGGACAAATTCTCTCCAAAGAGCAAAAAAAGGTGTATGATAAAAAATCCCCCTATTGCGGCAATATCTATTATCGCCTAAAAGTATTAGCCGAAAAAGAGCAAATTTTTTTTGTTTATCCTAATTTGGTTAGTTCGGAAATCTTTCAAACTATCCAACAGAGCCAATATTTAGAAAAAAGATACTGATTTACCTGTATAAAAAGAAAAAGCGAAGGTTGGGTTTTGCAAAATTGAAAGGAACTGTCAAGTAGTTAAGAAACTATGAAAAATAATAAAAAAGATAATTGAAAAGGAAAATGTCATGCTTGTGGCAAAAAAAAATCTCCGGAAGAATTAACTATCAATAACGGAATGGTTTGTCAAGGATGCCATGATAAAATTATAGAATCCTACAAAGAAAGCGAAAAAACTGGTAAACATAATAGTCCAGTAATTTTTTGTCAGGATTGTCAAACTCAATTTAAGTTAACCAAAAAAACCGCCACTAATCCTTTTGAAGATTGAGATGATAATGTTTCAAATGCTGAGAGATTGCATGAAGGAACTCCTTTTCAAATAACTCCTCTTCATATGGCTCGGTGAGAATGCCGATGTAAAAAACAACCAATTATTACCATCGGTATGCCTTATACTAATTGAGCCGAGGGATATATCGAAAAAAGGGCCAAAGAAACCAAGGAATGAGATTTAATGACTGAAAAAGAAAAAGATGAGTTAGACAAAAAAAAGTAAAATTTAAATGATTAAATCATTTGTGAAGTTAACAACCAACTGTTCAGAAAAGTGTAGTCAATGAATTTAAAGCAGATTTTTTTGCTTTTTTAACTAACTTTTTAAGTTCGATTTTCCTTGTAAGTTTAATTTCTTCTCGGAAACCTTCACTGACTAATTTATTTTCCATTTACCTTTAAAAATTTTTCTATATATAGTTCTACATGTAGATATAAAACTTAAAATAATATTATATATGAAATGAATAAACTTCCTAAATACTTCTCTAAACAGAGAGAGAGCGAAATTAACTAATTTTTGCGGAATTAAGGGGGAGAGAGAGTATTTTAGGTTTTTTCAGGTAAATTCTTCTTTTTTTCCTGAGGAATCAGGGTAATATTTAAAAACTATGGAAAGAAAAATAATATTAAAAAAAATAGATGAAGAACTAGAAGAAAAATTACAAAAAAAGTGAGAAGAAAACAAACTTATTTATAAAGAATGAAAAGAAGTCGGTCTAAAAGTCGAGGAATATGAATTTGCTATTTATCTAAATAATAAAAACCTCATTCCAACTGAAAATAATATAAGAAATATAGTAAGAAAAGAAAGTTGAAAAGATATTAATGAAGATTTTGAGTATCAGCGAAGAATCGAATGAGAAAAAAGAGGATTTGAAGAAAAAGAGTGCGAAAGTTGATTAGAAATTGGTTTGAAACCAACCGAAGCACTTTATGCTTGAAAGTTAAGAAACATGGAGCAAGAAACTCCGGAAAGTATTAATGGACTTCCTGATAAAGAAAAATATTTAAAAAAACAATTTCAAAATTATAAAATTGAGATAATTCAAAATTTCCCTCTAGAAAAATTAAGTGATTCTTGTAGTAACACATATTTTTTTATTTTAGATTATACTGGAAAGAGAACACTTGAATTGATAAGAACATCGCCTTTCGATGGATTTTATACTATTTTACATTGTTTGAACCGAACTACTTCCTTAACAATTGGTAGCCTATTATTAACTGATAGGATAGATAATCATGTAGGAGGAATAGTTACGATAACTACTTCTGGATTAGATATTATTCTTTCTTTACTAAAAGATAGAATGATTAACGAAAGAGCAAAATTATTTGATAAATTAATCGAAGATATTGAAAATATTTATGTCATTTGTAAAGAAACAGCGGAAGTGCTTAGAATCGTCCCCCCTTTTCCTTTTTCGAAAGAATTAAATGAAACAATTAACATTATAAAAATGAAATTAGATAATTTTTTAGAAAGGAAAGACGAATATTTAGAGACTTTAAATCAATTTAGAGGAAATAGTTTAAAGTTAATTTTAAAGCCTAAAAAAACTTGAAGTTTGGTGTGAAGAGGTGCAAAAATATATGGAGAAGTAATAAAAGATTTAATAGAAACAGAAAGTCTAGCATTAATTTTAAAAGAATCAATAAGCGACTATCGCCAAGGAATTTCTGATAGTGAAATAGAAAAAAAAATTAAGCACAGAAAGTTAGAATTAGAAGTAATTAGTTCTTCGATTATTCTTCTTTCGCAAGGAATAAACGAGGTTTCATTTTTTGAAACCATTAAAACTTTTTGGAATAACTCAGACAGTAATAATTATTTTGATAAATTATTAAAAAAAATTATTAAAGGAAATGCTTATTCATTAGAACTAGAAGAGGAAAAAGGTAGATTGAAGAAACTTTTCGGAGTTGAAAATGAAAAGACAATAAATAGACTTGTCAATGTAGTAGGAAAACAAATAGAAACGAATTTGGAAAGTGGTAAAGTTAAAAGAAACAAAGAAAACTTTTTGAAAGCACTAAAAGAATTAAAGGATGATGATACTAAATTTCTTTCTGAATTTAATCCAAAAAATAACCTAAACAAACAAGAACGAACCGAAACCCAAATCCAAATCCCTCCCAAATAATATGAATCAAATCTCCGCAAAAAAAAAAAAAAAACAGTAATCTGAATAATCTTCGGAATCCTTGCCTTGGGTGGAATCGGAACCGTTATTTATTTTGCCACTAGTGCTAAAAGCACCGAACAAAATCCAAGTAATTCTCCTACCATTCACCAACTCCAAAGTCAGTTAACTCAAATCAGAACTGCTTTGGCAACTCTAACTACTAATATTACCCAAACTGAAACTTCTTTGCAAACTAAAAGAACTGAATACCAACAGTCCCCCGAAAATAGTTTACAAACTGAAATTAATCAGTTAGAACAAAAATTAACTACTTATAAAACCCAAAAGCAAAAAATAGAAACTCTTTTGCCTAAAATAGAAGAGCAAATTGGTAAACTAGGGAAAGAAGGGAGTGCTTCTGAACCTAAGCAAGAAAGTATTATCCAAAACTTAGAAAAAGATATTCAAGAGATTAATCAGGAATTAGGAATAAAAACTGATAAACCTACTCCTCGGAAATTACCGGATGATAAAAAAGATCTTCCTTCTCCAAGAAAAGATGATAATCCTGATGATAGGAAACCAGATGATAATATTTCACGTTTCCAAATGCTTCAAAAGCAGAGTGCCGTATTAAAAACTGAAATAGAAAAGATTAATCAAAAATACCAGCAAGAACGGAATAAATGAAATTCTGAACCATCAGCAGTTCGTGCTATAGCTGATACTATGAGCGGTGGAAAATTGGAAAATTTTTATAAAAGTCTAACCCCCTTATCAGTTTCAAGTTTAGAACCATGAATTTCAGACTCCGAATATCAAAAATTTTTAACCCTCACTCCGGAGGCTCAAAAGAAAAATGCTGAATTAGTAGATATTGCACTTTTTTCAAGTATGAAAGAGGTTAAGGATAGTTTAACTACGGTCAATAATTATTTTAAAGGATTCCTGAAATTAGTCGAGAAAATGGTGGATGGAGTAGAAAAAAATTTTGGTGAAAATCCAGAAACAATCAAAGCCAAACAAGAAATTAAAAGGCAAGTAAATATTACAATTAATTGCGAAAGAAAGTTAGATGCTTTTGACCAGACTAATAATTACTCCAAACTAGTTACCATAATCAAAGAAATATGACAAGGCTTAGAACAGTTAGATTGAAGTCGAAAACAAACATAAACACATGACAGAATCATTAAGAAAAACCCAAAGTCGAATTGGCTGAATAAAATTTATTGCTTTCTTATTAGGAACTTTAATCGGCTTGCTCTTAGTTTGATTAATCTTAAAAGTTAGTCCGAAAGATACTTGAACTTTAACTAAGGGAGTTTTTGCCAGTGAAGAAAAATTAGGTGAATGTTTGCCTAAACTTGATGAAGTAGATAATAAACTTAAATCCTCGATTGTAGCCACTCCGCTTAATTGAATATCTAAAAAACATGAAGAGCAAATAACCCAAGAACTCTCGAAAGGAAACTTAGGAGCAGTAGTAAGTGGAATTAGGACTTATTGTATTATTCTGATTGTAATCTGGTTGATTGTTTGGGCGATAATTTATACTATCTTTTACTATTTATCTCGCTGAATAATTGGTAGTTTTATCTGAAAAGAAGAAGAACCCAAACCTACTTTATTAGAAATTTAACCTAATCCATTCCGGTTTTAGTGTCTTTAATTTTTTCTTTCATTAATTCTTGAAAGCGATACTGATTAACAAAGGCACTGCCTCCCATTACGGAGTAAAAGGCTTTCATAGCAATTCGGTAAGAACTTCAATTGGTATCTTCAAATTCGGCACTATCTCCGGCATAAAGGTTAAATTCCATGTAAGGGTTAGTGACTAATCAATCTCTTAATCTCCCACCCGAAGTCTGTGGCGGGCTTCTCGTTCCATCTTTGGCTTCCTTGCTACTCCAATAATAATCTTTAATTTTTCCTCACAAGAATTCGCGATGTTTATCGACCGCATTTTGTCCTTTTTTAAGGGCTCGGGCGGCTTCTTCACGTTGTTTGGCTTTTTCTTGGGATTCTTGGGCGAGAATATCTTCAATTTCTTTTTGCCTTTTGATTTTCTTGATTTCTTGGTCGGCTTTATCCTTTTCTAATTTGCCTTGATTTAACATATTTTCCAACTCTTCCTCATCTTTTTTCTTTTTGGCTTCTAACTCGGCTTGGGCTTGTTTTAGTTCTTGCTGATTTTTTTCTTTCAGCACCGCCAATTCATCCTCTTTTTTTTGCTTTTGTCGCTCTAATTCAGCTTCATTTTCCCGCATAGTCCTTTCTAATCTAGTTCGGTTTTCGGCTTGCTGTTTTAAAATGGCTTGCCGAGCGGCTAAGTCATCATTGGCAATCTGTTCTAATTTTTTTTGGGTTTCGACCTCTAATAATTCTTTTTCTTTTTCCAGTTTTTCCTGATTAAGTTTATTCTGTTTTTCGAGGGCTTCAATGTCCGCTCTTTTTTTGGCTTCTTCGATTTCCATTTGCTTTTTCTGATAATCGAAGGCTTCTTGGCGAGATTTTTGTTTTTCGGCAAAGTTCTTTTGCTGGGTATTTAGGAATTCTTCTTGCTTTTGCTTCAATTCGGCTTCGGCAGCTTGGCGGGCTTGTTCGGCACGGGTTCTTTCTTGGGTTTCTAATTCCCGCTCCTTTTTCTTCCGCTCTTCCTCTTCTTTTAATTTTCTATCCTTGTCAGTTAAGGCTTTTTCTCTTCTTTTTCGTTCAGTTTCTTCTAAGTTTTTCTTAGCTGCTTCCCTTTCTAATTTCTTTTGCTGGCGGGTAGCTTCTTCTTGGTTTAGGTTAGCCAAGAGATTTTCATAGCGGGAAGTAGTTTTAGGTTCCAGTTTATTTTTCTTTTCCTCGGCAAACTGCCCTCTTAATTCTTCGGAATTGATATTTAATACTTCTTCCGGAGTTAAGTGGGCTGTGTCTCTTAATCAAGTAGCAAATTCAGCCTCATTAGCCTTTAAGCCAATATCAATTCATTCCTTAACGGTTTCATAAGCAAATCCTTTTTCTTTTCAGGCTTGGACTAAACGAGGGGTAAAATCTAGGCTAATGCTGTTTCAATTTTGCTCGGTTATTTCTGTTGCTGGCGGTTTTCAATTTCCTAAGGCTTGGTTAATTTGCTTTTCGATTAATTCTTTTAAATTTAAATTCTGCGTTACTTCTTTTTGGGGAGAAGTTTGGGAAATAGCAAATTTTTCTCAAACGGTTTCATTAATGGTTAGCGGAGAATTTTTTAAGCCATCTAAATATTTTTGGAATTCTTCTCTGAATCTTGATCTCTTTTTTGAGAACTCTGTTCAACTAATTTCGGCAAATTTCTCTACACAAAAAATTAATAGTTCAAAATAATTATATTTAGGAATGGTTTTAAAGCCGCAAGTTAATAGGATATCGCACTGTAAACCGGTTAAAACCTTCTTTTCAATTCATTCATCTAAGGAATAATCAAAATCTTTTAAGTCTTTTTTGTATTGGTTTCCATCATTTTTTTTAGCAAATTCGATTAAGGACTTAATAATAGATAACTTATTTTGTTTGATTTGTTCCCAGTTGAGTTTTTTTTGCTCTTTTTCTAATTTGACCCGTAATGTTTTCTGCTCTCCGGCTAATCACTTTTGCTTTAAAGGTAAATAACTACTCTTATTTTCCCCAAAAGCAGTATGAAGGTCAGGAATTATTTCGGCTTGGACTAAGAAATTTACCGTAGAGCCTTTAAACCAAGGCTTAGTTCTGATTTTAGTTCCACTTGCTTCCTCTATTCGGCATTCTTGAAAAAATAAGTCCAAACTGGCTTCGGAATACTTATCTTTTTTAATTAAAGGGGCTAAACTATTCAAGGTATTCTTTTGCTGAGCGGTTAAAGAAAAAGCCTTGAAGTCCTTATATTTTTCAGTTTGGGCGATTTTTTGGTCTTGGGATTGAGAATAACCAAACCGGTCGGGATGCATCTCAATTACTTGCTGCTGTTGCTCTTCGGTTAGTTTTAATTTGGTGAGACCAAAATCTAATAAATGTTCTCTTTGCTCGGCAGTAATTTCCCATTCGCTAGCATTAAAGAAACTAATTCCCATTCCTTCTAAATAATCTCTTTGCTCGGGAGTTAGATTGAGAGTATTAGTTAAGAATCTTAAAATATTTTCTTTTTCTTTGGTAGAGAGACCGAATAATTGTTTTTCTTGGTAAAGAGTTTGGTTTATTTGAACTAATCTTTCTTTTTTTTCCAAAGTCTCAATGCCTAAATTATTAAGTCCGGCATTAAGTAATTTGAATTTAGTTTGATTATTTAAGTCTAGATAGTTATCAGTTATTAATTCCTGTTCGGCGGGACTTAAATAAGGAGTTTTTAAAGAAATAGTGATATATTGGTCTAAACTAAGATTTAAGTGAGCTAATAAGTTTTGCTCTTCCGGAGAAGGAAGGGGGAGTTTATTTAAGCGATTGATTAAAGGTTTAGTTTGTTCGCTTTTTTCTAGCAGTTTATCCGCTTTTTCAAATTCTTCTAATAGGACTGACTTACCCGCGAATTCGGGATATTTTTGGTAGAGATTTTTTCAGCCTCAATCTCTTAAATATTGCGGAGGGACTTTGCGTTGTTTATTCCACTGATGAATTTTTCTTCACTGTTGAGTATCATCTTCCAAATTTTCTTCGGCTTGCTCTAAATTGCTTTTTAGTTGCTGTTCTAATTCGGCCGCTTTTTGGAGAGTTTGGGCTTGCTGGGTGATTTGAGTTTCTTTTTTGGTGGCGGCTTCTCTTTGTAAAATAAATTCTTGAAACTTGACTAATTCTTGGGTTTTTACTTGTAAAGAAGCATCGGAGTAAATATTATATTCGTTCTGACTCACTGCGTTTTTTACTTTTTCGCTCCAATTGTTTGGTGGAGATTGCTGAGCTTGGGTTTGGATTTTTTGTCATTCAGCTTGGTTTACTTGATATTTTTGGCGTAATTGGTCTATCTGTTGTTGATAAGCCTTTTGAGCTAATTGTTTTCCGCCTAGTCTTTGTCAGTAAGTATAAGCATAAACTAAACCAACTACCGCATTAAACCCATAAACCATAGGCATTTTATAATCGGGGTTGTCAACGCTGTTATAAGCCAGAACATTCCCCATCACATAGCCAATAATTAAAAGATAATGTCCGAACAAATCGGCATATTCCATAATTTGGTCTTTGTATCAGTAGCAAATTAAGAGAATAATATTTAGGATAATTAAACCAGATAGACCATTTTTCTTGTAAACCACATACTCTATTAGGAAAATAACCAAAAAGAGCATGAACCTAGTCATTGATTTTTGGGAAGCGGCTTGGGCGACTTCTTGCTGTTGGAGTTGTTGAGCGATTTCTTCCAATTTTTTTTCTAAATCTAATTCTCGGGGTTCTTCTCGGTCTTTATTTTCTTGGAGAACTTGAACCGATAAGGCTTGAATTTCCTGTCATTGTTCCTTAATTTCGGCGACTTCCCTTTCTTCCAACGCTTCTTCTTTACTTTCTAAAAGCTCTTCAAATTCTTGCTTATTTTTTAAACTAGATAATTCCTCTTGGGCTTGGGTCAGTTCTTTTTCCGCTTGCTTAGTTTCCTTAGTTTCAGTTTGAACTGATTGCTGGGCTAATTGTTCGGTTTTTTTGTTAGCGGGAGTAGGATTTTGCTGAGCCTTATGCTCGGCATGTTTTAATTTATTTTTGGCTTTTCGCTCTTCCTCTTTTTGCCTTTGGAGAGCCTTTTGTTTGATTTTAATTTTGCTTTCAGCTTGGATTACTTGGAGGGCAGTAGTAGCGGAGGGTTTGGGTGCCGGAGCCGAAGGCGGTGGAGCCGATTCTACCTCTTGAAGATTAGTTTTAATTTCTTCCTGAATTGCCGATAATTGCTGTAAAATTTTACTTTGCACTTTATTCACCTCTTCTAAGGCTTGCTGAGCTTGTTCGGAAACTGGAATTTCCTCTCCTTCTTGTTTTTCTGATTTAACCTGCTCCTGTTGAGTTTCTTCTCGCTCGGCATCTTTGCTTAATAATTGTGATTTTTCGTGTTCTCCTAATAAGCGGGTATCTCAGCCTCATTCCTGTAATTGTTCGGGCGTATATTGTTTAGCTCAGGAAGAGTTAGGGTCTAATAAATAGCCTTCTTGGTCTTTTAATTCAGTTTCGGTTCCGGATTTTACTCCTACCAACCATTCTTTATCTCGGACTTGACAATGAATCAGATTTTTTGTTTGTTTAAGCAGAGTTAAAGTGGCTAATAATTTAGTCTCTTCGGCTTTTAATTCTAAGGACTTTTTAATTTTGTCTAAGTTAGTCTGTTCGGAAGAATAATCAGTAAGAGCTTGTAGTTTTAAGAGATTATCTAATCTTTCGTTAGTTTGCCGGGCTTGCTGTTTAATTTTTTCGGTTTCTTCTTTGTTTTTTTGGACTTGCTCTTCAATGTTTTCCAAGTCATCCCGCATTTGTTGAACATCTTTGGTTAACCGGTCAACCTTTTTAGTGGCATCCTTGGCAATGGTTAAAGTTTCTTCGGTTTTGCGATTGACTTCCTTAGAAAGTTTATCCATTCGCAAATGAACCTCTTCCTGAATATCTTCCATTTGCGAAGAGACTAAGGCTAATTTGCGTTGCTGAGTAAATAAAATATCATTGGTCTCTTGTAATTCTTCGGCAAGTTCTTGGTGAAGAATATTTTGCTTTTTTTGTTCGTATTTGACAGTGGCTAAATCTTCTTCCTGTTCGGCTAATTGGGATTGGTTATCCTGGAATTGGGCTTGTAAAATTTGGGACTGAGTATTAAAATCTTCTTGGGTTTGCTCTAAATCTAATTTCAATTTAGCCTCTTTAAGTTGTAATTGAGAACTAAACTCTTCGGCTTGATTCTCTAAATCCTGCTGAACTTGGCTTAATTGAACTTGAATTTGGTGTTGTTTAGTTTGAAATTGGTCTTTTAATTGGTCTTTTTGCTCGGACAGTTGGGATATTTTGGTGTTAGAGATTGAAATTGAATCTTTGATTTGTTGGGCTTCTTCCCTTCTTTGCCTTTCCTCTTCCTGAATTCTTCTTTTGTTTTCTAAAATTTTCTTTTCTTGCTCTTCAAAGCGTTCATTTACTTCTTGCTTGAATTCGGCTAATTCTTTTTTTAGTTCGGCTTGGGCTTTGGTAAGATTATCTGTAACCTCTTGAATTTGGTTTTGAATTTGCTGGTATTGGGCTTTTCTTTCGGCCATTTCCTTCTTAATCGCTTCTCTATTTTCCCCCGTGGCTTCGGCTAAGCGTTTGTCTAAGGCTTTAATTTCTTTATCGTGTTTTTCTCCTTGCTGTTGGAGGGCTCCTTCTAATTCGGATTTGACATTTTCAATTTGACCTTGAAGGGCTTTGCCTTGGGATTCGATTTTGGCATTGGCTTGGTCTAAACCATCCCTTAATTCACCAAGATTTTTAGAAAAACCGGAAAATTTAGCTTCTATATTCATTCCGTTTTGTAAATCCTTAAACATACCAATAGAGTTGCTTATAATCGGACCGACACCCGGAATAAAACTAGTGAATTTTTCACCTATTCCTAACATTAAATCGAAAAATCCCATATTATGCTATTAAAATATTATTAAGACTAGGAGAAAAGTTTTTTCTAGAATATTTTTGTAAAAATTTTATTATGTTTAAGTTCATGGTAATATTATGTTAAATGATTTGAAAAGTAATTTAGAATTAAAGATAAGACTATTAAAGGGCGAAATTAGAGAAAATGACAGAGAAAAAGAAAAATGTTTAAATGCTGTGGCTGGATTAATTGGTTGCTTTGTTTCTTTGATTATTGGTTGTTTTTATTACAAGCAAGAAATCGAAACTAAAACTTGAATGATTTTTCCTATTGTATTGCTTGGATTGTTTTGCTTTATTCTCGGATTTTATTGATACAGTAAATATAAAAGTGCTGGTAAAAAAATAGAGCGATTAAAAAAAGAACTCTATTTGCTGAAAAAAGGTCTTATACAAGGCAAGAACAAGTCTGATTAATTTATTTTACTAGTAAAGTAAGAAAAGGTTGGAGTTAAAGGTGTTTTTTTGTTCTACCATTGGAAGTTTTATGAGAAAAAAGCAAAGACTTTTCCGGAGTAATCTCTAAATGGAAAGGAGCGAATAATTCACTAGCATATTCAACTAATTCATCTAAACTAAACTCGTTAATATGGCAAAAGAAAAGACATTCCAATTTTTTGGTTGGCTTAATTCCTAATATTTTTCCAATTTCTTTTTCTGACAAATCATTTTCTCTTTTGTAGCGAGCAATAGTTTGGCAGATTTCATACTTGCTTTTTTCTAAGGGAGTAGCATTATCTCCCAAGGCAAAATTTATTCGGGAATAACTAGGATTAGATAGTTCCTTCCTAACTTTTTTTAACTCTTCCTCCGAAGGAAATGGATAATTATTAATTTTTTTTTTCATATTTACTTTTTGTAATGCGATAACAGTGAACTATTCCTAAAAATTCAATTTCTATTTCATGAAAACAGGCAATTAAACGGTGAATTTCATTTCCATAAACTAGCGGTTCCCAAGTTAAATATTCTCATAAACCAACTTTCTTAGCTGATTTTGGTTCATTGTAGGGTAAATACTTTTTTACCAAATAATAAATTTTTTCATCACTCATATAAGGATGCTTTTTCTCAAAATGAGGATCGATAATCAACACTTCAATCTTTCTTCCTCGAATAACTAACTTTGGGATTTGGTAAACTCGTCTATTTTCGGAAGTTATTCCGATTAGTTTTAGTTCGATCATCTATATCTTATTTTTAACTTTTCTTTACAATATTTTTTGTGTGCTTATCTCCAAAAATTTATTTTTAAGGAGGTTCATTCCTCCAATTTATTTCTTTTTTGCTAACTTCTTTTCTAGGTTTTCAATTTGCTTATTCTTTTGCTCTAATTTTTTTGATAAACCTAACGAATTATTCACTTCATCTTGGTAAAGTTCCTTTTTAGCCTCTAATTCTTCGGTTAAATCTTGATTTTTTTGAATCAAAATTTTAATTTGGTTGCGGTTCTCCTCAAATTCATCTTCTTGTTCGGACAATCTATTTAGTAAATTATTATGAGCTAAAATAAAGGATGAATCAGTAACCATTCAATTGGCTAATTGTTTAATTTCAGGTTGGTTAATTTGTTCAACTAAGGCTTCGGCTTGGTCAATTTTGGTGCGGGCTAAGGAAGAAGTTTTGTTGGTAGCTACTAGTTGGTGAAATTTTGAGAGTTCTTGGAGAATTGAACGGTCTTGGGCTCAACTGATTTTTTCTTCCCGCAAGCCATCGGCTAAATCTTGAAATTGTTGGCTATATTTAGTTTCTAGTTCACTAAGTTTTTGTTGGTAAATTTCGGACAATTCCTTAATTTTTTCTGATTGGTCGGTTGCTAAATCTTTTTCTACCCTTTTTTGGTAAAGAGTTTGGTAATGGTTTAGTTCGGCTTTTAGGTCTTGGATTTGTTGATTATTAGGCTGAATAGCCAAACTCGCTTGATTATTTTGCTGATAATATAAATAAATTACCAAG